TGTACAAATTTGATTACGATTCGATTACGAAAATAAAGACAAAAACGACATTTTGTAAGTCTCTGTATGGCATGTCCAAACAAGTCTATATGTAGCTAAAATTTTGGAGACACATTTCGGTGAGTAATACGTATCTACATTCAATTAAAATGTTATTACATATTTATGATCTTGATTTATATACAGTTAGTTTAAGAATTTCTATAAATTAAACGTTGTTAGATTAGGTCACATCTCCGAAACAAATTTGCTTTTGAGAATTGAGTTTTATACGTTTAAAATTGAAGAAAAGATTTTGAATATTGGTCAACTTTAACACGTACTGGCGGACAAAGTAAGCAATGGAATTGAAAAACGTCCCACAGTAAAACACTACTTAGTCGCCTCCTCTCTATTTATTTCTGCAAGCTCGAATTATAAATTTGAATTAGAATAATTATTCAGGTACAGATTTTTAATAAAGAAAGTACTTACGACAACGAAATCATATTCAAATAAATCCAAAAGCGGTCAATTTTGATTAAATTAAGCGACTAAAGTTTTACTATAATATTATTACTATTAATAATATTGTGATCAGAGCATTGGTGCATAAAGTTAAAGGTCCCGGGTTCTATTCCCGGCGAGGGTGTGACAGCAGTAACAAAAATTTTTCTCCTTAATTTAAGGTAACCTCATAATGGAAAAGAAATTGTGAATGATTATTTGACATTAACCACTAGGAATTTCAATGTTTTACTATAACTATGAAGATATTTTTGAATTTATGTATGTTATTATAGAATTTTTTGCACTTTTCGGCACATTTTTACTTCAAGTATATATACGTATGTTTTTTTTTTCGTTATGTTTTATCTCAAAGAGTCATTTTGTAGATATTTCTTCTAAATATAGATTATTACTGTGGCTTTAGGATTTAATTTTTTGAAACAAGTGGATCTTTAATGTCGGAGGAGATGCATGCATTGCGAGGGGCCTTTCGAAATTATTCGCGAAGCATAATCACGTACGGTACGCACATATGTAGGTAGACATATGTATGTAAGTGTATACTTAACGTACGTACATACAACGAATACTTAGTCGCCACCGTGTGAATCTGTTAAGATGCGGATCATCTAAAATATGGATTATGAAGAGTATAGAAAAATAAAGCAAACACCTTGAGAGATGTTTCAATAATGCGATGTAAACACGCAAGTGGGTAATTGTTTCATTTAAGAACTTAACCCGGTTTTATTCCCACGATGGACTGCCGTACCAATTACTCTAATCACTGAATACATAATTCCAAGAGATCGGGAAAATGCCGTATCTCGACTACAACTAACCCATCTTAACAATCACGAATCGAAAAAATTGCTAACGATAATCAATTCTACTTCGCATATACACACGAAAAAGTATTGAAGGGACAAACCAATATTACGCTGACGCTGAAGTAACTCCTTTTTAGGGTTCCGTACCTCAACTATTATACGATCACGTCGTTCACTGTCTGTTAATCTGTCTATTAAGACCGTTTTTCTCAGGAACGCGAAGAGGTATCAGATTAAAATTAGTACTAAATACTCAGGTCTGTAATCCGTTGGAGCTATGAAAAAACTGAACTCCTAAGTCAACGCAGTCAAAATATACGGCCGTTCGACATTCGTAACGAAATCAAAGCCTATAGAAAACTTCCCGTTGACCTACGATCATGAAATTTGGCAAGAAGCAATGTCTTCCAGCATAAGTAAAAGGAAAAATTCGAAAACTGTAAATCATTTTTTAATTGTACGTTTTGGAGATTAATCTTAGAAACTTGATTCCCGTTTCTGACGAACTGGTTATAAAACTTAGCTTTTTCTACCCTTACCTAAAATATAGCTTTATTACCATCTTTTAAGGTTTTGGATTTTGCGATGATGAATACCATTTTAATTTTTTTTTATTTAACACCTCGTCCAATTCGTGTCAAAATCGCCAAAAAAAGATGCTTTCTGACCTATTTTTGTAAAATTTTCTCAATACTTTACTCGTATACGAAAACTATTGTAAATATATATATATATATATATAGGTACGTACATATTTTGGACTATAGTAAAACGCAGTAAATTTTCGATTTTAGAATAATATTTTTCTTTTCGAGATCATCATGGCACAAAGATGACCTTTTAGATAAAATACAATTCCAATAATAAATTATTTGTAACAAAACATCTTTCTATATTCAACAAATATAACGAAGATTCAACTGTCATCATCATCATAAGGTCATCAGTCCTATGACTGGTTGGACACGTACCTCCACTCTTTCCTATCCTGAGCTAAACTTCGCATTTCCCTAAAACTAGAACA